CTGTTCAGAGACGGTGCACCCACAGCACACACCTCACCACTGTAATCACTGTCACATATTCATGTAACAGAATCCAGCCTGTTCCCCGTAAGGCTGTTAAGATATTAAAAGGAAAACCAGAGCACGAAACCCCACATGGCCGCACAGACCCAGTGTGTGTGCTGCTAGCCAGAAATAATCTAAATGCTCTGAATCTTTCAAATGACTCCTCTCATCAGTAATATGCAAATACTTTTTAAAGTAGTACGTGATAACTGAATGGGAATAATAAAAATTAACATTTGGTCCTTTTGGCTCACGCAAGTTAAAACAAGCAAGCTGTTATGTTACTAGTGATGTAAACCTTCAAAGAAACATGGAGGCAGAAGTAAATATGACGGACGAGATAATGTGACATCTAATAAACAGCACTGTAAAAAGTAATCTCCCTGGGCAGCGCCTGTGGCTCAAAGGAATAGGGCACTGGCCCCATATACCGGAGGTGGCAGGTTCAAACCCAGCCCCAGCCAAAAACTGCAAAAAAAAAAAAAAATAATAATAATAATAATAATAATCTCCCTGTAAATTTTCACTTTTTAAAAGACTTGCAAGTCAGTGTTAAGGATTTCTTGGCAATTCCCGATGCCTAGAATTATGCCTGGTGAAGTCAGCACCCCATGAATGAGCCGATGAATGAATGAGGGACTCCCCTCGCCCCCTAGTTGCTCTGATGGGAATTACTCTGGCTTGACTGCCGTGCTCTCTGCTGTGTCTGGGTTTTGCTGTTTTCCTGCCTTTGCGCAGGGGCTCGGGCGGGGGCGGGGGCGGGGGCACCCTAACCTGTGGCTTACTGTGTTGGCAGCACTTCGACATGCCTCACGACATCGTGGCCTCAGAGGACGGCAGCGTGTACGTGGGAGACGCCCACACCGACACCGTGTGGAAGTTCACCATGAGCGCAAGTGCGGAGCCCACAGCTCACAGTCCACAGCCCGCTCCGTTTTGTTGCTTGACCACGTGTGAAACAAAAGCCTTGGCCTTTCTTTCTCTTTACTGATGGGAGGAAAATCAAGGCATAAGGGAGTAGTTAAAAGATCTACTTGGTATCCATTTTAGGGGTTTAAATTAATTTTTTTAATTGGAGGGAAATATCCTTTTTTGTTGTTTGTTTTTTTGCTGGCAGTTATTCCCTTGTTTCCACCAATATGCCACAGGAAATTCTTGATGCCTGAAGTAACATCTGTTACATTAAAAGCCAATGTTAATTCCAACTTATTTCCAGAAAGAGGAGGTGGCTGACTTGTTTCCATGGGGCATCACTCCCCACGTGGCTCTTTAGCTCTCGGTGGCTGGGGACATCTAGGGATGGAGCCACGTCTGTGGGAGACTTGTTAGTCCAAACAAGAAGCCTTTTGAATGTTCCACTTATGCTTCGACTTTCCCCAATAACTGAATTACTATATTTTCATGGAACTCAAAATTCTGGCTGGAGACATGTTTGCTCTAGCAGGATCCAGCCAACGAGTTTGGAGTTTTCTAATTGCAATTTGGACATTGTTTTTAATTCTTAAAAGTAGACTAGCCTAACTCCTGCTGTCATGCTAACAAACATAAGCTTTGTAATGATGTGTCCCGACTGCTTACTACGTACGAGGCTCACACTTGAATGTCCAGAGATCCTGCTTTTAAATATGGCAGGGCCCAAGAAATAAAAGAAGCTGAGATGAGGAAGGGGGTGAGGATGACAAACTGAGGTATCAGAAGCTGCACAGACAATTTTTGGTAGAGAACAAATAAGGAGGTGAACTTGATAAAGAAAAGACGTGTTCTTTATAAAAGGAAAAATACAAACTGTAACGGGGAAGGAAAATAAACTATAACAAAGGAAAGTAAAATTAAGAGTCCAAAACCAGACATGCATCAATACCATGCAGGTGTTGGAGCCAGTTAATTTGGTAACTGCTGCCTTCAGAACGATCCTCTGAGTAACTTTGCTGTTTTGTAATGAGGACCCGATTAGAGCCGAGTGGGCAAAGAGGCCTGTGGGTTATACCATGGAACCAGCCCCTTCACATCCCCCAGAAGCGTGGCTCCCTCACCACCTGCGTCCTCAGGGTGGCTCCCCCAGGTGTGGGCAGATAGGAAAGCAAAGACGTGTGATGATTCCCAGCTGCACGACCAAACTCAGGATTTTCTCAGCAACAGAAAAGTGCACCAATACTTGTAAGGGTGGAAAAGACTTTGGAGATGTAGCCTCTCTCTGCTGTGCAGACAGCTGTATGATTCTTGAACTCAGGACGAGTTCAGTCAGTCCTTGAAAGCCCTTTTTGCCACTCTCATGGTTGATACTTACCGGAGATTTACATCTGAGTCAGCTGGGGATGGTTTCTGTCTCCACTCAGGATCTATAGAAAGGAGAGGAATGATAAGACATGTATGGGGCGGCACCTGTGGCTCAAAGGAGTAAGGTGCCAGTCCCATATGCCAGAGGTGGTGGGTTCAAACCCAGCCTCTGGCCAAAAACCACGAAAGAAAGAAATAGGATAAGACATGTATGTTGAAAAGTCTTCCCAAGTGATGTTGATACATCCCTCAATTGAGAAGCACTGCAAACTTTTCAGCTTCAAAAAAGAGAATACTCCTGCATACACCAGAATGTACTAAGTCTGGAGGAGGCACTTGGGGCGCAGTAAGATGCCACTGACAGGGAACAGCTGTCCCACTTCTTTGCTCCTAGTACGTGGTGTCTACCCAGGCAAGTCCATCTGTGTCAGCTAGAAGACTTGTAATCCACATGGCGAGACTAGTCATCAGTCTAAGATGTTGTCCACATGGAAACAGAACTACCAGATAGCCCAGAAATAGTATGATATTGTGAATTCCATGAGGACAAGCTCATTTTAAAGATGACATTCTTAGACTTAGATTAGCTTTCCCTCGGAGATTTTATTTAGGATTCATGGAACAACTAATTGGTAGTTTGCATTGAACTCTTTTCTAGTATAATAATGCACTTGATGAATTAAAAGAACATTTTCGCCTGAGTGAAATATCAAAGTTTGTAAATGTTCATCTTGAGGATTCTGATTTTCTGTCTTTTTGTGGTGCTGTGTTACAGAAATGGAACATCGATCAGTGAAAAAGGCTGGCATCGAGGTCCAAGAAATCAAAGGTTGGTCAGATTCTTCTTAGGACTTTGAAACCAAAGGTTAGGTGTGTTAAATTTCTTTATAGCTCCTGATTGCCACTTAAAGAGTTATCAGGCTAAAAATACAACCTAGCAAATGATCTGAGACTTCGGTCATGCACTGGCCCTTTAAGCCTGTGCACGGCCGCTGCTTTTCCTGTCGTTACAAGCTTAAATCACCGCTTTCCAGTGACTGTAAAGTGATTGAGGATGTAAGGAATCTATAATCAGTGAGCCAGAGACACTGGGGGGGGGGGAGTCAATTACTTTTGGAAGTGCATAACCTCACGGAGGCAGGAAAATACTGTTGAGCATACGGGTCAGGCCTTTTCTTAGTGGGTGCTGGATAGAAAGGAGTGAAAGGTAACTTTGATGAGTTAGTGCTGTGGGATGTGAAATGATTAGCTGCTCCCTTAGCTCCTAGCTCAGTACCATGTAGAGCCCAAGATTTACGGAGGGCACCATCGCAGGTCTAAGGGGAATTAAACTCTGCCTCAAGAGATCTACCAGGGGATGGAGAGAGAGATGGTAGAGAGAGACCACACACACACAGCAGCCTAAACCCAAGAGATCTACCAGGGTGGGTAGAAGGGGAGAGAGAGATGGCAGAGAGAGGCTGCACACACACACACACACACACCTAAACCCAAGAGATCTACCAGGGTGGGTAGAAGGGGAGAGAGAGATGGCAGAGAGAGGCTGCACACACACACACACACACACACAGAGCAGCCTAAACCCAAGAGATCTACCAGGGTGGGTAGAAGGAGAAAGAGAGATGGCAGAGAGAGGCTGCA